GTGTCACGGGACTTTTTGTTTTCTTTTGTCTTAGTTTGCTTTTCCAGTTTACTCACTGAAGAATATTTGAGTAGTTTCCAGTTTGGGGCGATTATGACTGATACTAAGTATAAACATTTGTGCACAGGTGTTTGTGTGAGTAGATTTTCGCTTCTCTAGAGTAAATACCTGCAGAGGAGATGGCTGGCTCACATGGTCAAGTGTATGACTGACGTCATACGGCAATGTCAAACCGTTCTCCAGAACGCCTGTCCTACACCATACTCACCATCCTGAGTTCCGCCAACCCCGTGTGAGAGTCCAGTCGCTCCACACCTTTGCCAGCATGTTGTATGATCAGAGTGTTTGCCTTAGCCTTTCCTGTATATATGTAATCACAAAGCATCGTGGTCTTTATTTTTTTTTAACATTTTATTTATTTATTTGACAGAGAGGGAGAGATACCACAAGTAGGCAGAGCAGCAGGCAGAGGGAGAGGGAGAAGCAGGCTGTCCGCTGAGCAGGGAGCCCGAGGCGGGGCTCGATCCCAGGAACCTGGGATCATGACCTGAGCCGAAGGCAGACACTCAACCAACTGAGCCACACAGGTGCCCAAAATAGGGTCATTCTGATCCCCCGACCATGGAAGCTCGAGCTGGACTCTGCAGGGGTCAGGTTCTGGAGGCTATGCTCAGTGTAGACACCAGGGGGCGACGAGAGAGAGCAAGGCAGTGGAAAGAAAGTGGTCGCCTCTGCGACCACCTATGAACAGTCGTAACAAACTGACCTTCTCAAACTCATTTTGTTTCTGTTTTGCTTTGTTTCTTAGAGAGGGAGAGAGCATGCATGTGTATGCAGGGGGAGAGGGAGAATCCCAAGCGGGCTCCATGTCCAGCGTGGAGCCTGTCGCTGGGCTCAGTCTCAAGACCCTGAGATCACGACCTGAGCCGAAATCAAGAGTCAGACACTTAACCAGTGAAAGCCACCCAGGTGCCCCTCAAATTCACTTTTGGAGATGCATTAACTACAAGCGCAGTGCTGAGAAGGCAGGTCAGAACCTATGGCACATTCCAGTAACCGACAAGAGCCAGGATCACTTGGGATTCATCTTTTGCTTCAAGCACGTTGGCTCACTGCTTCTTTTGCCCTTAGTATGGAATGTTTGTGGAATTTAATGGGATGTTTGCATACAGTCACAAGACACACATCTCACTTGCTTCCGCTCAGCCCATTGCTGATTCCAAATCAGGGGTGTTGAGCAAACAGCTGCTCAAGCAGAAATTGCTCCGAGTGAAAGCATCTCACTTCACCCAGGGGCTGGATACACACTCCAGGCACGTGCCACACCACCGCATTTATTCCAGCCCCCAGAGCAAGGCGCGGCAGCATCCCGAAGGACAGACCCACCAAAAGGACCCTCATCTCGAGGGCTGCTTCATGAGGACCAAGTACTCAGGCTGTTGCCTACCGGGGTCCTTTGCCATTAAGGGAATGAGCACACATCAGGGTTGCAGTCAGGGTTGGGAATAAGGAGTTGACATTCCCTGGGTCAGCCCTGTCCTCCTTAGAATCCTGTCACTAGTTTCTTGGAAGCTTTTCCATTCTGTTTACAGCTCACAAGGAGGAGAACATGCAGCTGAAAACTACTGGAAAAAGCTCATTCATTTTAAGGAAAGTCTTTAAAAATAATCAATGACCAATGTGTCTTCAGAGAGGACTTTTTTGTCTTTTTCAGTCCCGTGTGGCTGGAACCAAACAGAGCCTTTTTCAAACCGGCCACACCCGGGAGTGACGCAATAGTCCCTCAGACCCAGACACAGGCAGGGTCATCTCTCCGGATGTGAAGCTGGCCGGCCCGCTCCGAGGTTTCCCTACAGCCCCACAGCTGGTGGGTCTACCGAGCTAATGTTCCAAGAGCCTCGCCCCCAAGATGCACAGCACGGCAGCGGGGCGTGAGCCAGTCTGGCCCTTACTCTGTGTTTGGAAAGAGGCAGCCAGCATTTTTTTTTTTTTTAAAGTAGGGAATTGATGCAAACAGAACTCTAGTTAGGAAAGATGGGTTTGGGGGTGCCCGGGTGGCTCGGTGGGTTAAGGCCTCTGCCTTCGGCTCAGGTCATGGTCCCGGGGTCCTGGTATCGAGCCCTGCACCAGACTCTCTGATTGGCAGGAAGCCTGCTTCCTCCTCTCTGCCTGCCTCTCTGCCTACTTGTGATCTCTGTCAAATAAATAAAATCTGTAAAAAGAAAGAAAGAATGAAAGATGGATTTTAAAAAAAGAAAGAAAGAAAGAAAGATGGGTTTGGTAGCATTCTGGGATAGGTTAAAGAGGCGGACTAGAGACAGGGAGACCTTGAGAGGAGGGCAGATGAATGTAAATAAGCATCTGGGAACACGGGGAGCTCGTAGGAAACATTCCAGGGCTCCAACTAACAGCTCTGAGCTGCTAAATGAATGTGTGTGGTAGGACGCAGAGAAGCTATAAATACCACAGCCTCACATTCTCCCAGTGTTTACCATGTGCAAGTTACTAAGCATTTTACAGGGACTAACTCAATAATTTTGCAAGTCGTATGTGGTAGGAATGATTATCATCCACCTTTTATGGGAGAAGAAACTGATGCTCAGAGAGGCTAGGTCATTTGCAGAGAGTCGCTGGGATTTGAACCCAGGCTGGTGAACTCCAGAACCTGCATGCTTCATATAGATGACCCAGCCTCTTCCCCCGTCTGGGGGACATGAAGGATGGTGACGTCACTGGCTGAGAGGGGAACTCAGTGCGGGAGGGGGTCAGCGATGGGAGGGCGGTGTTGGATGTGTGTAGCGTCTGGATGTTCGCCTGCACCGTCCGTGGGAGATATCCAGCAGGCTTTGGGTTCCAGTGTGGAGAAGGAGCTGGTTCTCATTAAAAATAACAAAACATCTGTAAAAATACTGTTGGCTGGGTTTCCCAGTCAAGCTATTCAAGAGAGGCCTGCTGTGCTAACAAACAGGAAGCCCGGGCCCTGGCTGAAGGTTTGGCCAGAGACTTAGAGAGGTCAGGTTCATCAGCAGGTGCTCAGGGGCTCAGGACCACTGTGAGCTGGAGGGGTGAAGTGTGCCTGTAAGGTTCTGCCAAAGACAGCGAGCTCAAGCTTGAAAAAGGAGGAGAGGATGGATGTCTCTAAGCCTTCCTCAGTTTACCCCACGGCCCCACGTCATTCAAACAGACCAGAGCTTCTCAATGCTGCTTGCCCATTAGACTCACCCAGGGAGTTTCAAAAACTACTCATCCCCAGGCCTCACCCCAGAACCAGTGAAATCAGACTCTCCCAGTGTGGAAACACAGTTCTGAAAAGCTCTCTAGGAGGTTCTAATGTAAGGCCAGGCTTAAGAACCAGAGCGATGGAAGAAAGGTTTGTCCTTGGGGATGACCAGAGAGCAGGGTAATGACTAACACCTACAAAGTACTTTTTCATGCATCCAGCACTCTCCCATACAGGCCTTATGTAAGGAGCAGTTTAATGCCATCCACTGGTTGGATGGGAATCTGCGAATCCGAGAGAGAAGTGACTTGCTCAAGGTCAAAGTGTTATTTACCGGAAAAGTCAGGCCTACAACCCAGATCTGTTGGCCCCCAATTCAGGGTTCTTTCCAAAGGCCACACCAGGTAATACCGCAGATAGAAGGCCAAGTTCTTCTGTATTCTCAGAAAAAGGTGAGGGTGCAGCCTTTTTAAAAAGCAATTATGATCCACAGGCATGAATCTAAAAATAGAGTTGCAGCTGGTGTGCTGGAGGGTCAAGGGCCGGAACAGGGTGAAGGTAGCCAGGCCAAGAGGTGGTGAGGCCCAGATGGCCCCACGACCGACGGGAACAGCGGGGAGGCTGTGGGGAAGGACCGGCAAGAGGGTGAGTGGGGCCCAGTGAGGAGCGGGCATGGGGAGAGGCCTGGAGCTGGGCTGGGGCACAGCCCCCGGGGTGAGTGGGGTCCAGACGCAGGCCTTTGGGCCACCTACAGCTAACGGTGGTGGAAACGGCAAATCCAAATAATTCCCAGAGGCGCTTACCAGTTAATAGGAATTCCAGGACTGTAGGGACACACTGTCTTACTAACCAGATAATAATCACCCGCCGATTTTTATAGAACTGTGTAATTAAACACTCTCTCTTTTTTCCCATTTTCATGACGGCCTGTAGTATTACCCTGCCCCAGCAGCTTCATGTGTAATACCGCTGTAGCCTCTCACAGAGACACTGACAGAACAAATGGATGAATGTGTCTAGCAAAATGCCTAGCACATAGGAGGTGCCAAATAAATATTAGCACCTTCTGTGGTTGTTTCTTTTTTGAATGTGGATGGTGAGGTTCAGAGAGGCTGCGTCCCATCTGCTGCTTGGGAGTTTGGGCTCTGGAGCTGGACTGCCAGGTTCAAGCCAGCTCCCCTCATCTAGCCGTCAGGCCTAGGACAAGTGAGTTAACCCACTTGTTTCTTCTGGTGTACAATGGAGAGAATATCTGGACCTTTCTCGGGCGGTTCTGGGGGAACTTACATGAGATAATGTCTGGAAAACTCCAAGCATGTCCGTGGCCTCTAAGCACCGTTCAATAATGGTTCATGAATTTCACTCAACGGGACTGGTCTAAAACCCCCCGGACAGCAGGTGCATGAGCCAGCAGGAGCACGTAAGCCACTGCTCTTTCCGCGATACCCGGCAGCTTCCAGGGACAAGGGACATTGACCAAGGAAAAGGAAGCAGTCGGGGGACCACATCCAGACAGCTTGGTCTCTACTAAGCTGCCCTGACCCGGGTAGGATTCCAACTCTGCTGACCTCTTGGGCTGCTGGAGCCCCACAAGGAGAGCCCCAGGGTTGCCCTGGGCACATTCAAGACATGCGTCTCTGTTTGGCTCCTCGGGGCCTCCTGACATAACACCCACAGCCTTATGAGATGGCACAGACCTTCATCAGGCCCCACCTGTGACTTCAAGAGCTAGCACTCCCAGTCGGGTGTTTTATTATTTATTTATTTGACAGGAAACACACATTTGGTCCCGTGAGATACCATGCTACTGGCTGAACGAATGGCCATTACAGAAAAGAACTCCCATGGGCTCTCTGGAAGGCCCCGCATGGCCCGCCGAGGACAGCTCAGTTGCTGCGGGGAAGAACTCTGCCGTGAAGAAGAGACCGGCGGCCCGACCGACCCCGGGGAGCCTCGGTCCTGCAGCCCTGCAAGGCCGTGACATTCAGACACATTGGGCATCAGCAAAATAATGGTCATGCTGGTTGTTCTGAACTAGAAGATGTTCTTAAACCCACAGTGTACCAGACAACTTATATACATTACAAATATATAAATTAAGAGGTCTACATGTATACAAAACCTTCCGATGGGGACCTAATTACATTCTATGCCATGCCAGGTATTTTGAGGGAGCCGGTATGAAAAATCGAAGGTATTTATACATAGGCCCTGCCTCTCTCGTGTCCACCATGGAATCCCCGGGTGTTGTCAGGGCCCCTGGGCAGTCTCAGCACCCCCACGGGTAACCCGTCTGCCGTCTGCATCTTCCGGGACAGCAGAGGGCTCACGCCGGGGCTCCTCTCTGGGGTCGCCATCTCAGCCAGGCGGCGCCTCCGGACCCACGGGCTGCCAGAGGGAGTGATGCTGCTGTCAGAGGAGTAGTCCATGCACTTGCGGAAGATCTCGGGGCTGGTGCCGCAGTTCAGCCGCCCCTCCTCGGCCAGCGGGGATTTTCTGGAAACGCCTTTGCGTTGAGCCAAGGGGCTGCTCCAGGGACTCGAGCACGGCGAGGCGTTCGGGCTCAGAAAGAGATTCTGGTGGCCGGAAGGACTGAGCTTGTTGGTGGCCGTGTGCCGCCGGCCCGCCATGGGTGACGTGGGATTGCTCTCGGGGTCGGAGGAGCTGTTGGCGGAAGACTCGTCCCCCATGTACTGCAGCTCCTCCACTCTCTTGTTCAGGGACCTGTTCGGGTGGCTGCTCGAAGCGGGCTCCTCATCCTGATTCTTGTCTTTGAGAGGTTTCTTTTTGGGTGGTTTCATGCCAATCAGGACAGCCTTCATGTTCTCCCTGCCCTGGGACTCTGTGCTCATGAACTCGTGGGCTTTGATGGCCGCGTCCACCTCCTCAAACTCCACAATGGCACACTCCTGGGTCCCCACCTGGCTGTACCGGCTGCTGATCCTCCGGATATCGGGGGGCAGCTCCCTCCCGGGTTTGAGGATCCGCACCGACGAGATGACCCCGAAGGTCCCGAAGAGCTTGAGCAGGTGCTCCATGACCTTCTCCTGCACCCTCCCGTTCTTCGGGGGGGTGGCTGGAGCCCACGGCTTGGGGGAGAGGTGGAGATCGTAGACCAGGAGCATCTTGCTCGGGAGGTTCTCGTTGGGGAAGAGGGGGACGGGGGTGGTCCGCCTCACCTTCCGCTGGTCCTCATTCAGCTCCAGGCTCACCGAGTACTTCAAGGCATGCGCCGTGGTTCTCCAGTCCCGGGTCAGGTGTTTCACCTGAAGAAGACAAAGCACATCTGGAATGATACCCACCTATCCTCGCCCACCTCCTGGGCTCTGTCATCTCCCTCCCTCCTTTCCTCACCCCCTGGAACGCTGGTGGCCAGCATCCTAGCTGGCGGGCTCGGGCATTCAAACGTCCAGTGAGCGAACGCACGCGCTATGATGACGTCAAGCCAGGCGGCGGCGTAGAGCAGTGCCGTCCGACAGAACTTTCTGTGGGGATGGAGATAGTCGAGTGCACACACATTTAGCGGTTGAGGCCCTGAGACAAGGCTGTTTGACACCCAAGTCCAAGGCCCACCTCCGGCTGGCGGTAAGACTTGACATTTCCCAGGCTCTCAGTGTCTCAACTCCCTCATCTGTCAAATGAAGACACTAATCGTGTCCACCTCACAGGCTGTCGTGAGGATCAAATGACTAAATCAACAGATACAGATCTATACGCAGACATACCTGATACATCCACATACGAAACCCAGAACAGTGTCTAGCTCATGGCGAGTGCTCAGTAAGTATCATGTGCTATCATCACTTCAAAGATTACGTGCCACCATTTAGATAGGATTCGGAGATTTTTAACATCCGAACATGTCTCTGAAGTCGTGTTTCTCTGTTTACGCATTTGATACACAGAAAGTTCCAAAAGATCTTTCGTGTTCCACTGCAATATCTCCTGAAAGTGATGTGGGCCCTTTTGACCTGGAATAAAATCCAAGTAGGGCCTCATGGAGAATGATGCAACAGTCCCTCCCTCCCTCCTCCTCCCTGGGTGGAAACTGCGGGTTAACGTGTACTATATGAAGGCTATGTTTATATTGTAAAACAGTAATTTTCAAGAGGCCCACTTCCGCTGGAGGGAACCCTGGGGGAATGAGTCACCCCATTCCAAGGAAACAGTGGAGGTGGGTGGGGTGGGTAACCTGAGCCAGGAATGGCAAAATCACCCTGAGTCCTCTGGGGCCAGGCCAACGCAGGCGCTATGCAGAGGAGCCCTGAGACCAGACAGAAGCTTCCCAGAACTCAAGAATGGAGGCTGGCTAGCACAGGGCAGCACAGGGCGGGGCGGAGGGGGAGACCCCTTGCAGATCTCTCAGTACAGGCAGAGGGGGCACTGTCCGCTCTAGTCCTGGTCTCGGGGTGAAATGGCCCAGCTGAGGGTGTGGGAACCACAAGTCGCCTACACCCAGGACCAATGGGCTGATCTCCATGACACACATCAAGGACAGAGGGTCAGTGAAGGTCCAGGCAAAGGGTCAGACTACAGGTGAACGGAGTCCATCAGGGGGATCCAGCAAGGGGAGAGAGAGATGCTGACCAAAGGTCACTGCTAGGTTGTGAGGAAGCCAGGCAGCAGCTCTCATAGGATGACACAGCAGGGAGCCTTCTCCATACCAGTCAGGAAGGGAGCATTCAGGAGAGAAAAGACAAAGCGAGTGCCAAAGCCTGAAGCCTGAACGGGGAGTGCTCGCGGCAGGCTGGTGCTGCCTTACTCCAAGGGCTACAGAAGCCGATGGAAGGCCACACGCAAGGGAGAGGAACGCGGGCTCTGGCAAGAACCAGCACCCCTCCAGAGCCAGGAGCAGAGTCTGCTAGGAAATGCCGGTTAAGCCCGAGCGTCCTTGGGCACCATCTCAGACAAGGAGCCCGGAGGTGCTCTCCTTGTGCAATTAACTGAAAGACCTTCCTAAGATTCTCAGAAACTGCCATTTCACTGTTTGTCATATGTGTCTCCTATTATGATCAGCGGGAAAGCCTTTAGAATGGAAAGGGCCTTTGTTGTCATTTTGGAGGTGCTGGGGAGGCTGTGTCTAGTGCCATAGTGGCAGCTTCAACAGGAAAAAAAAAAAAAGTCAGGCTGACTCTTAGGGTCCCTAGGGAAGAAATAAAGGGACGCCCACTGGCTGCTTTGTTTTGGGGTCCCCCACAAACACTTCCATATGAGGGTTTGCTCACCGTTCCCTGGACACGTATGATATTGCGATGTACAATTTTGATAGGACTCGGGGATTTTAACGTTCAAATACTTCTCTGAAGCAGCATTTCTGCATTTGACACAAAAGATCTTCTGAAAGATCTTTCCTATTTCAATGCGGCAGCTCCTGAAACTGATGTCGACGGTTTCAGCTTGGAATCAAAACCAACTTGAGGCCTCACGGAGAATGATGGAACAGTCCCTCTCTATCATATATATCCATTGTTCTGTGACCCCCGTCCTAGCACGGAGCTGCTGGAACCCTGGCAGTTCCTCCGGGACAAAAGCACTAGGAGAAGCTTTTGTTCTAATGAGGCAATTCTGGGCAGGCTCCCTGGTGGCTCCTGGTTGAGGGCCCGTCACCAGAAAGACCAAGCCATGGTTAGAAGCTTGGAATTTTCAGGGAAGGGAGAGGGGCAGGAAACTGAGTTAATGTTTGATTGTGCCTCCATGAGGAAGCCTCCATAAAAATCCCAATACCACAGGCTTCAGAGCATTTCCAGATTGATGACTGCATCCACGTACAGGGAGGGTGACACACCCCAACTCCGCAGGGACAGGAGCTCCCACACTCAGGGCCTCCTTCTGCCGATCTCTTCAGCTGGCTGTTGGTCTATATCCTTTATCACAGCCTTTATTAAACTGGCCAACCTAAGCAAGTGTTTCCCTGAGTTCTGTGAGCTCTTTCTGCAAACAATCAAATCCAAGGGGAGGAGGTGATGGGAATCTGTGATTTTTAGCCACGTTGGATAGGAGCTGTGGGTGACCTGGGGGCCTCCTGTTGGCCACTGGCTCCTGAACTGGGGCGGTCCTGTGGGACTAACCCTTAACCTGGAGGATCAGATGCTAGCTCCCGGTATATGCAGAACATGAAGAGCCCCTTCCCTTCTCCTTTACCCTGAAAACTCCTACTCGTCCTCCAAGATCCTATTTCAATGTCACTACTTCTAGAAAGACTTCTCCATCATCCAGGCAGAGTAACTGGCTCTGATGAACACGACTTTGCACTTTCACTGCCTGTGGTCATCGTTCAGCCCTGCACTGAGCTCTTTCCTTCACTGGACTTTGCAAGGGCAGGGGAAATGCCACCTTCGTGTCAACTATCCTGTGCCCACCACAGCAATCAGGGTACAGGATGGATAGGTTAGGTGACTGGATAAAAGGACAGAGCCCAAGAGGAGAGGACAGACCACAGCAGCAGGTGAGGCAGGGAACAGCCCCGGGGAGAAATGCTCTCCTCCAGGGCTCTCTGGCAGAACGCACAGGCAGCCTGGCCGGGACCCAGCTGTTACATATCCCGTTATGCAACAGGCCATGCCGTGCTTTTCTATTCTAGTAAATATACGTCCCCCACAGGAGACATGGAGTTCTTACTCCAGCTCATCTGTCCATGCTTTGAGACGGAGGGATTTCACACAATAGGCCAGCTGCGGGGTCTGCTGCCTACATGGTTGCAATCAGGCACCCCATGTCGCCACACTGATGAGAGGTTGGTCTTACACGGCAATGGCTGCCGGAGTCTGGAAGGAGGTCATTCCCCGAAGTCCAAGGTGCTCCTCCTTCTTCTTATTTATTCAACTGGGCAAGGGAAGAGCCTGTGTATCGCACAGTTCCAAGGCCAGGAGGTGTCTCTCAAGGCGACTGAGTCCCCGTGTCCTGGCACAGCGTTCTCTTGGCCACCCACTTGCCTGGCAACAGTGCCTGAACTTTGCTCAGAACAAGCACTATTATTTCCTAACCGCCACCCGCGGACATCTGTCCCAGCACCCAGGCCTCTTTCGATACTGTGGGAAGATGATCTTCGTAGCAATCCTAAATCCATTCTGGATCACTTTTCTCTATTTCAGGCCCCACAGCGGGGGCACCGGGGAGGGAGGGATTGCTAATCACCAGCTATCAAAAAATATTTAGAACTGCAACCCCCACCCCCCGAAATCCTCAAGTCAGCTCGTGAGAAGGAAGCCTTACCTTTTTGAAGGACGTGAGGAGCTTGACGCTCACGTACCCCAGCTTGTTCCTACGCACGTGCTTGAGCAGGAAGGCATCTTTCTCCAAGTTTTCATCAGAAAAGTAGAATTCGATCTGGTCCACCAGCTTCCTGATTAACTCCTGGTCCGGGGGCTTCCACTCCTGCTCGCTGTCCTCACGCTCGTTCTCGCCCCCACTCGTCGTGGCGCCACTGGGACCAGAAGGAGATGCCGGGGGTTACAGGCTGAATTGTTGTCCTCCACCCCCCTTTACTCCAAATTTCGTATGTTGACGTTCCAAAGCCCTGTATGTCAGAATGTGACCTTATTGGAAATAGGGCTTTGCAGATGTAATCAGTTAAAGACAAGGTCACGCCAGGGTGGGGTGGGGGGGTCCCTAGTCCAGTGTGGCTGGTGTCTTATAAACAAGGGAAATCTGGAGGCACGAGCATACCGGGAGAATGCCATGTGAAGGTGAAGGCAGAGATCGGGGTGAGGCAGCAGAACCCAGGAACATCAAGGATTGCCAGCAAACCACCAGAAGCCAGGGGAGTGGCCGGGACCCACCCGTTCCCAGACCCTGGGAAGGGAGAGCTCTTTGGACACCTTGATGTCTGACTTCTGGTCTCCAGAACCATGAGGCAATCAGTTCTGGGGTTCTAAGCCAGCCAGTTCATGGTAGTTTGTTTCTGCTGTCCTAGGAAATGGCACTGGAACACATGTGAACTGGGCTCCTAGGGGTCATGATCACCTGGCCCCACGGGGCTGGCTTTTGCCCAGTGGGCAAAGAAATCAAGCTTCTGTTTTTAACATGGGTGGAGGGTCATTCAAATAACACCACCTTCTACTAACATTTGTGTGCTGCTGTGCCACGGATAGGATGCTTCCCACATTCCCTTCTTATTCTTCCCTCCCACCCACCCCCCAAATCCTGATTTCTAGAAAGTAATTTAGCAGAGTAATTAAGAGTCCCAATCCCAGAGTTAGCCCACGTAGGTTCAAATCCTGCCGCCACCATTTAGTAACTGAGTCAACTCAGGCGAGGAACTGCCCTGCTACACCTCAGTCCTGTCATCTGTATATTGGAATCATGACAGTCACTCTCCTGACAGGGTGGTCAGAAGATTAAATGAACTAATACATAGAAATGCCCACCCGGGTGCCTGGCACGCCCTTGGAACCCGGGAGGTGGCAGGTAGGTTCGTTTATCCCACAGATCTAGGATTGACTAAAACTCAAATTTTCTGTCTCCAAAGCCAGCACACATATTTTCCACATTTCGTTGGGACCCTGCCCTGGAATCTGGAAAGTATCCCACTCGGCAGGGCCTTCTAAATGAAACCCACACCCACCAGCAGCTCCGGCTGAACAGACTTCCTCCCCCTCTCCCTGAGAATATTAGGATATGAGAACAAGCCAAAGAATTCCTGAGCGAAGCTTCTTTAGGAAGGCAAACCTTTCACCAAGGGATGACAAAAACTTCAAAATCATAAACATTCAGGGGCTCTGTGAAGATCTGCATCAGAGCTGACACCATTAATTAGAATCTCTCGAAGGTAAGTTCTCTCTGGCATATTTAATGACCAAATTAGATTACGTATTACACAATATCATATATATCTTATTCAAGAAAAAGGGTTGGCTAAAAATTACTTTCAGAAGAAAACATTACTGCTTTCCTACATGGCAGCTTGTAACACGACGATCAGACCCAGAGTCTCCACGAACATGTGCTGAGTAGAGAGAGTATTTCCGGAGATGGATGCAGACACCTAGTCCATCTGAAGCATTCTGGGCACTTCTACTCTGTTGGGAAAAACTGCCTGGTTCCCCAGAGGGCGGCTCAGTCAGTTGGGCATCTGCCTTCGGCTCAGGTCATGATCTCAGGGTCCTGGGATCGAGTCCCCACATCAGGCTCCCATGGGGAGTCTGCTTCTCCCTCTTTCTCTCCCTCAGCCCCTCACCTCCGCTAGTGCTCCCCTCTTGCTCTCCTCTCTCTCTCTCTCTCTCTAATAAATAAATAAATAATCTTAAAAAAAAATAAAAAGAAGCAAGCAGTTAACATTTCCCTTGGACTGGCATTAAGCTCTTAAATAAAATAATCGAAAAAGGTGTAAGGGGGCTCAGAATGTAAAAGTCAACTATTACTGAGATAGTTTAAAGCTGGAAAAGGTATGTACATGTAGGTCCTTCAACTCCAGCAAAATTTTCACTGACTCTTAACCAACCCCCACCAAAAAACAAACAAACAACAAAAACAACAAAACCCAACTGTGGAAGAGGCAAGATGAGAATAAAAATGGAATATTTTGGCAGGAGAGAAAATACTAAATAAATCTGTCTCCCAATTTTTCAAATACAGAAATTATAATTTTAGCATAAAAGTAGGCGTTGGTTGATTTTAAAATGAAGAGTTTAGTTATTTGCCTACAGACAGTCTGGAAATGTTTTTGAAATACTACACCAATGTCCCAAGACAAACGTATACTGATGGGGGGGGGAATGGTATGAGAGACTAACTTTAAAAGTATGTTTTTTCAAAAGTCTTTTAAAAATGGGGTGGCAAACCAAGGAAATATATGGGGGTAGCCTATAAGATAAAACAGGTCAAAAGCAACTTAAACATTAGACAAACAGAATATTTTAGAAGTTTCTAGAAGATAGCTGTGATCGCCATTAGTCAGATTCACCCAACATCTGATAGCAAACTCTTTCTCACTTGCTTCCCTTTATTATGGAGGCTATATAAAAACAACAACAACAAAAACAAAGCAAAAAACCAACCTAAATATGTACTTTCTCAGCCTCGGTTATAGGTAGTAGCTATTTGTCATGGCATGGCCAATAAAACACAAGTGAAAACCTTTTGGCCCTCCCTCTTCCCTTTTTATGTTTTGAGTGTGGATGTGATGGTTGGAGCTGTAGCAGCTATTTTACCACCATAAGAAAAAGGCCAGGAGAATTAGGTTGGTCTGATTTATTGATATTATTGGCTCTGATATTATTGAGTTGCTGAACCAATTCCTCTACCTATGTACCTGCAGATTTCTGATTACATGAGAAAGATAAAATCCATTTGGTTAATTCACTTATTGGCTGGGTCTTCTGTTACTTACAAACAAATACTATATAGTAATACTGCATTGAGAAAAGTGGTCCTTTGGGGCGCCTGGGTGGCTCAGTGGGATAAGCCTCTGCCTTCGACTCAGGTCATGATCCCAGAGTCCTGGGATGGAGCCCATTGGGCTCTCTGCTCAGCAGAGAGCCTGCTCCCCCCACCTCTGCCTGCCCCTCTGCTACTTGTGATCTCTCTCTCTCTCTCTGTCAAATAAATAAATAAAATCTTAAAAAAGAAAGAAAGAAAAGCGGTCCTTAAAACATGCCAAAGGAAAAGTGGAATAAATGGAATGAAAAAGGAGAATCAAGATGGACAACACAGATTTTTCTCTTAATTAGAGAAAGCTTATCCCCTAACTAGTAGTTAAAACGGACAGGTTGGATACACCAGATAAACTAACCTCAAATGCATGGGGAAGTCTAAGCCCCACTGACAAGGATGAGAATAAACAGGAGGAGCTGCGGTTAGGTGTGGGATAATGACCAGTGAAGAGTTTTGAGTGGACTCAGTGGGGTGGGGGGCGCAACTCTGCACCAGTTCTTTGCACCCAGTGAGCAGACAGGCAGGTAGCCAGATTCCAGAACAGGTGGGCGGTCCTGGGGAGGTGAAATAATCCCCTATACAAGTGCAGGGGTGAGCTTCCTGTCCCCTAGGACCCTCTCTCTGCATGGGTGTTGTCAGTGGCAACTGTGCATCTTCAAAGGGGGACCTTGGAAGATAGGCAAGGCCCTTTTGCATATCTGGGAGCACGCTGCCTTGTCTCCTGGTTCCAGCAACAGCCTTTGAATGAAAAAGACCCTGTATCCTTTAGGAACATCAAAGAAGTTTATATCCCTTAAATATGAACGTTGGTAACTTTCTGTCAATTACAACTGTCCTGTAAAGACTATGTATCTTTCCTCTCAAACTGCCCCACTAACTACTTTCCCTATTCACTCTTCTTTGCATTTAGACTCAAAACCCGAGATGCGTCTTTTAGCCCTCTCTTTTGCCCCCACACCGAGCCAATTATCAAGTGCTGATTTTATTCTGCAGTGTCTCCCATCTGTTCTCTTTTCCATTCCAACTGTCCTCATTACTTCTCCCTTGGACACTATTAATAGTTCATCAAAAATGAATCTTAAATATTAAAATAATACATACATGTAGCAAAAAAATAAAACAAAATAGCACTTAACTTAAAAAGAAAGCAACGAGGGGCGCCTGAGTGGCTCAGTTGTTAAGCATCTGGCTTCAGTTCAGGTCATGATCCCAGGGTCCTGGGATCAAGCCCTGCATCTGGCTCCTTGCTCGGCAGGAAGCTTGCTTCTCCCTCTCCCACTCCCTCTGCTTGTATTCCCTCTCTCACTGTGTTTCTCTCTGTCAAATAAGAAAATAAAATCTTTAAAAAAAAAAAAAGGCAATGATTCCCTGTTCTACCTCTCCTCCCTAGAGGCAACCTCTATTCAACCCTTTCATTCTTAGGAGAGTTGCCTTGTGGTTCTATAAAAATGTTCATGGTTCTATTTCTCACTTGCCAATTTTCAACGTTCTCTATTCATTTCCTATTATATAAGGTGAGGACTTGGGGTCACTCATCTCCCAAAGCCTCTTCTTCTAATTTTTTAATATTTTGTTATTTTTATTAGCCTTCTAATTGTTTTTAAAATAATACAGTTAAAATTCTCTCTTATTCCATCAATATTAGATGATATGTCTCGCTTCCTCCCTACCTTGATGTGTGTGTTATAACCCTACCTTCTTCCCTCCTCCTTCCACTTCTAATCCTTCAAATTCTTTCAGATGTACCTTCATTTTATTTTGTCATGGTTCATTATGCTTACATTCTATTCTGTAACTAATAGTCCATGTCTTGTTTTTAGATACTGAAAGTTGAAAGCCAATCCATTGTCTTTTATTTTTTAATCTTATTTTTTTAAAGATTTTTTATTTATCTATTTGTCAGAGAGAGAGAAAGAGCGAGAGAGCACAAGCAGGGAGAGCAGCAGGCAGAGGGAGAAGCAGGCTCCCTGTTCAGGGGCTGAACAGCGGGGCTGGATCCCAGGACCCTGGGATCATGACCTGAGTTGAAGGCAGACACTTAACCGACTGAGC